GAAACGACAGATCTTCCAGGACAATAAAGAGGAGGAAAGTGGTCTCAGAAAAGTCATATTTCTCCAGTTACATCATTAGTTGGCAAATGAAGTGGATCCGGTGAAAATATGTTTTCTTGAAACATTTCATCTGTTTCATTTTGGGAAAAAAATATGACACCAATGAGAATTCATTTTTTTTAAAAAAAATGCTTTTTATAATGTGTGCATTAAATCCTTGCTCTAAAGTCTTTGGCAGTTCCTAAGTGGTACAATTTATTGAAGCCCTCCTACATGGCAGGTGGAATTTTACATACATATTACTTAGTAATGAGCACAACAGACTTATAATAAAAATGACATTGACAATTCATGTTAAAGAAGAGGAAAATGAGAATGAGAAATAAGTCTCCCTGGTTCTAAAACCATATTCATGCAATATTGTGAAGGCTTCAGAGGATACCTAAAACGTCTTTTGAACTACTTCAAAGCTAAAAGGTATTAAGCATCAAATAAAGACATTTAATGAGGAATGCGTGTGGGGCGGGGATGGTGGCAGTTGCTCTGGGCTTCTCAATGTGGCTAATCTGATAAAGGGACAGAGTATTTGCAAGAGGAAATGTTTCTGTGTCCCTTTGCTGATAGCAGCAAGCTCAACACTCTCCCCAGATGACAGTGTTTAGCCTGTTAGTTAATTAATTTTAATTATTGACATAATTAAAAGCATAGGGTGAGGGATAGCTTAGCGATTATGTGACTTAGACGTCCTTGAAATCACCAGCTCAGCCTGAGATCTCACTCCTTAAGAAATTCTTCTTTGGAAAAAGAATGTGTTTCTGTTACTAGCCAGTTTCCCAAACTTGGATCCCAGAGGCGCGCTCTAATTTCATCAAGGCCTTTTCAAACAAAAAACAGTACTTCAACTCCCTATGTTCCATTTGGGTCAAAGACTCTGGGAAGGCTTACAGCTTGAAGAATCCACCTCACTGATTGGCGACAACTCTGAGCCCACTACAGTGCCTGGAACTCAGTATGCTCTCGGCAAATTTTTCTTGAGTATATTTGGTAGAATGGTGGGTTAATAATTAACCTAAAGCGAACAGTGAAAATAATCCCAAAGGGCACCCCAGAGACAGAAAATTTTTCCATCTTCTCTATGAGATTTTAACTGAATGCGGCCCGTTAATGATGAGTTTAAAACTTGACAAGCTTCTCAGTCCATATTATTGACCGACAAATGTCTCTCTCCACTGATTTACTTGTGGAGAAAAAATTTCAAGGGTTCTAAAATACAGAGAGAATCATTAACTAAGAATCCTTCTTAAAATGGTCTGCTCCCAAAAGGAGCCTCATCAAAATATCTGAGCCTTGGATTCCTAAGGGTTCCACCAGCATCTGTTCTTCCCAACTTACTGAAAACCAGGAAGAAGTTGAGGCCATCTCTCGTGGTCTTGGAAAGAGAAGTGTCCCCTCTTTTCTCGAATGGACTTTCTTTCACAGGAGGCAGGTCAGAATTGATAATTAAGTGCATGGCCCTTGGCATTAGACAAAATGGGATGTAGACGTAGCACTGCCAATTTCTAGCTCTGACCTTGAGAAAGCTGTATAATGCCCTTAAGCTTCATTGTTTTCACCAACAGAGCAAGGATTATAAACCTGCTTAACAGAGTCGTGAGAACTGTATGACGTAAGCACAAAATGTATGTAACGTGGTGTGTGGTGCATGGTGCTGAATGCACGCTGGTTACCGTCGCCACCGACGGCATTGTCAAACAGCACAGCGGAGGATAAGGCCTGGCTAAAACTCGGGGACCCTTCAAGAATCAGCAGTATAGCACAGTCACTTAAGTGACATCTGAGGTTACATAGTCCAGGCTTTGCCAATTGTTAGATGCTTAACTTAGGCCGGAGCCTAAGTTTTCTCATCCATAAAATGGACGATTCCATTTTATAAACATTTCATAGTTTTTTTCCTGAAGACTGGATATGCCAAGGAACATAAACTGTTTAAAACGATGCTCAATATATGTTATCTCCTTTAACCCAGCACATAGTAGGTGCTCAAAATATTTAATAAATAAATATTTTCCCCCTGAAAAAATCTCTCGAATACTAGAAACCACTTAAGAAAATCTTTTGATGTTTTGTGCACATCTTCCTACAACAGATTTGAAGCTGTTGGGGTGGTTTGAAATGCTTGAAAGGAAACTGAAAGACATGATTCTGTTCCTCTGCTTAACTCAAACACTTTGTTGGCGCAAGAGAAAAATAACATGAACTTTGCTTTTTCCCCCTCAAATTCTCTGCTACTGCCCTAGGTCTTTAATTTGTTACATGGTATTCATTCTCCTTATCAGCTGAATCCTTATCAAGGCTCATCCCTCTGCTGAGGGACTGGATTGGGACGATCATAAATTCTTTCACTGACAGAAATATGACTGTGATGCTATGTCTCTGCTCGAAGATGTTTTGGAACCTACTTACCAGTGAATAAGGAGCTTCTTCTGGGATGTGACAGGATGGAGAAATAAATTCAACTGGTGTAACTGTCCACCTTTCCCCTCAGGCATTCCATTCAGTCATTTCATTCATTCCTCTGACCAAGCATTCCTCTGACAAATCAAAGGTGACCTGTATTTTAGTCCAAGTAGGAAAGCCAGCTTCTCAGCTCTCTGGCAAACAGAAAAATCTAGACATTGATCCGACACCTAATGATTTTTTTTCTAAATGTGCTGATCTCTTAAGTGCCTGGAATCAAATCAACAGCATTTCCAAGCTCTTTACATGTTATTTCCATCGATGAGTTATTTTAAGAGGACTGAATGTTATAACATTGATGGTTATGCCAGAAATTCCTCTCAAGAATACCTTCATAGGGTAGACTGCCTCTCTATGGGGGCAGGGAAAGGTCTCAGCGTAAAAAAAAAAAAACATCAAATTCATTTATTCTACGACTCAGTAAGACCTTGTTAAGAAGGGATCATTTCTCTCTTGAATGTATTCTCGCCCTAACTCTAAGTTTGCACAAAATGGTGAGATTAAGTAACAAGAAGATGAAAGTAGAATGGAGGTTTTTCTAGTTATCTATAAGTAGCTTTCCTGGAGCTAAATAATCCATAGGCCCCTTCTCAAATTGATGTTGGGGAAAAGTGTCCCTTTTGAGTATATTATCTGGTAGACAAGTTAAGCCAATCTCGACTGCCTTGTGTCTGGGCATTCATTCATGAAAACATTTAATAAATGCCTACAATGTCCCAAACACTGTGTTACTTCTTACAGTTACTAAGATGAATAAGATGCAGTCTTTGTTTGCTTTTGGGTGCAAAGTTCCACTGAGCACATAGAAGAACGGTGAAGGATTCATGTGTTTCTTCGGAAATATCTGCGTGCCTGACACACGGGGTCTGGCGTGATGGTCGGCACGTCGTAGGAGAAGAGACGTGGACCCGGCTTTCACAGAGCTTAGGACCTAGCGGGGGCGTCATCAGCATTTATCATGTCACACAATAAGTACCATAATGGAAACCAGGGTTGCTTAAGAGCACATAGCAAAGGTAGAGGTAATAACAGAATTGATTTTGATAAGAAAACTGCTACAAATTAAGGTACGGCAACAAATTAAACTCAGAAACAAAGCCCTAGTAGGTTTAAAATTCTTTTGTTAAGCAGTTCATTCTTTCAAACAACAAGTGGGAGGCTTCAGGTTTAGCCTAATGGGTCAATAAGATCAATAAGAAATGCAGACTCGAGGCCTGGTCTGGCTTCTCCTGACTCTGACTAGGTTATTCCATAAAACTTATAATTAACTCCAACAGGCCCAGTCTGCTCAGGATCCTTTAATGATACACATAAGACACTTGTGATCAGCTAAATAATGGCTCCCACAGATACCCATATTCTAATCCTCATAAGTTGTGTCACCTTTAATGTGAAAGGGACCTTACAGGTGTGACTGAGGTAAGGACCTGGAAACGGGGGGGCCAGGCCTGAGTCGTCTAGTTGGGCCTGCGGTGCCGAGGAGGGAGGCAGGAGACCAGAGTGAGCAGAAAGCTAAGTGACCACGGAGGCAGGGACCAGAGTAATGTGGCCAGGACCAAGGAATGCTGCAGACTTTGGAAGCCGCGAGAGACAAGGAAGGGGTTTCCCCCGGGAGAATTCAAAAGAAATCAGCTCTTAAGAAACCTCTTCAGACTCATTTTGTAGTCTGTCCGCCAGAACTATACTAAACCTGTGTTGTCTAAAGCCACTAAGTTTGTGATTGTGTGTTAAAGCAGCAATGAGAAACTCATATAACAGTCGATTACTTATGTAAACTAAAAAGGTTCTTGGGAGTCTTATGGAAAAATTAGTTTGTTGACATGTCCTAACCTCCATTTTCTGCTGGCATTCTTCCTGTAAAAGCAAGAGAGTCTTCATCCTCCTCCTCGTCCTTGGTTATAGTATCCATTCGGAGGAAACTATAATGGAAAAGTTAATTACAATAAATAGTGGGAATAATATTATTTGCAAGTGAACTGCTTGCTCTCTGCTTTTCTTCCCTATAAACTTTAGGATTAAGATTTCTAATCTAACTATGTTGCATTAGCAACAAGCATATCATAGACAATTCATTGCAGGTCATCGTTTTCCGATTTTGCATTATCAAGGAAATTGGAGGGGAATGCGAGGCTTTAAAATATTTGCTGATGATAGTCATCTGTTTCCTCAGAGAGGATCATCAGTGTGGTGAGATGCTGTCCTTGACGTCGTCAGTATTCCTTCGGTACCCACTCGAATAATTGCGAGTGGGGAAGGGAGGCTGTCTGTCAGATCACACTCCAGTTGTGGGCGGTGTGAAATGTGTTCTAGTCCCTCTTCTTGTTCCTGCTCCACAATGAAATGGATGTATGCCACCTGTGACAGCAAATAGGAGAGCAAATTCCTATATGTGTTGAAATACATCTAACAATAATTAAAGTGGCTCCAGGAAGCAAATGAATCTATGTGTTATCACCAGCTAGAACAGCTTAGCTTCACTAATTTAGAAACCCTAACTGATGTTTCGAGCGCCTCCCAGCGCTGAGTATCTCTTGTTTACCTCTAGACCCCCCACACCCTATGCTGGGCCCCAGGAGGCTGACTCCAGGGATGGCAGCAAGGGCTTCCTCCCGCATACCGCCTTCTCCATTGTGGTTTCTGGAAGCTCTGCCCCACATATTGGTATATCATTCATTTATTAAACTCTCCTCCAAGGTGAGTGTGCCTTTTTGCCCATCTTGCACAATCATTTCATTCAGTTTCTTAGTTATATTTTGAAGCGATTCCATCAGAATCTATGCTATTTGAAATCAATTGTTCTGCAGGGTCTAGACTGAAACTATTTTAATATTTATTTGGCTACATCGGCCCTTGACATTTTTTCAATAAATAAGTAATCTCTCCTAAGCTTTATCCTACAGAGTGCTAGGGTCTCAGCTGAGAAGTTTTCTAGAGGTTCCCATAGATGCAAAACTCCTCTTCAAGAGAAATTTAGACCTACGGGGAAGGGGAATAACTTCTTTTGGGAGCGAATAACAGTTCTGTATTTTTCCAAGACAACAGCAACAGTCTTGACGGTAAAGCATGACATAGAAAGCATCTGAATCTCTTTAAATAGCAAGTACCCCAGTCAGTCACTAAAGAACTTAACCATAAAATGACTCCGATCTAGCGAAACTGTGCCAACTTTTCGTTCAATATTGTTTAGATCCATCCACCTTAATACACAGAACTATGTTTCACTTCATTCTGTAGATATAAAATTGTCTCTACACATTTCCCTACCGAAGGTGTTTAATTTCATTGTTTTGTTATGACCACAAGGGATATCTTTGTACACATTTCTTGCACATGTGTGTGCTAGGCAAGTACTAAGGCAAATACTAAAGGTATTATGTCTCACTTTTTCTATTTGCATATTCTGATCTGCCTATGAACTGTGAAATCACTTTTGAGTGTATTCAGCAGTATTCATTTTAAAGTGAAATAGAATAGAAAATAAAATGCAATGTATATAGGAAGGGTATTATTTTACAAAACTGTTTTGAGGTGTGTGTGTGTATGGATACATATGTAGGTGTGTATATTATGTGTGTTATAGAATAAAACATTTTTCTTATGAGTTATAGTCAAATATTTGAAAACTCTACCATGAAATAGACATAGAAGCAGAATTTCCGTATCATAGAATATGCGTATTTTCAACCTGAGTTGCTATTGACAATCCAGTTGATGAATACATTTACGCATCTATTGGAACGTAAATTCCTTGTTCTATCTTTGAATTTTGATTTTATGACTTCTCCTCCTATCTGATGGATTTTAAATATCTTAATGTTTTAATTTGATTTTTCTCTGATCCTTTCGTGAGGTTGAGGTTTTCATTTGTGAATTGCCCAACAATATTTTTTTAAAGTTTATTACTTTTTTGATTTGCACTAATTCTTAATATATTCTGGATATTAATCCTTGTCTCTTCAGAAGTTGTAAATTTTTTTTCTTTTAACTTTGTGGGTTATTTAGTCATATAGAAGGAAATTTAAAATTTAGATGTAGTCTACATATCACTCTTTTCTTTTTAAAAAAATAATTTGTAATTTTCACTTCTTGTCTGAGAAATCTATCTATCCTTCAAGGTCACGAGAATATTCTCCCATATCACTTTATAATAGTTTTAAAGTTCTGCTTTTTTTTCATTTAGGTCTTCAATTCATTTGAAATTTATTTTTGGTACGGTGAGAAGAAAATAACCTCTTTTTATTTTCTTTGATATGGAAACCCAATTATTCCCATATCAATAATTGAATAGTTAGTTCTTTTCCCACTGATCTGTCATGTCATCTTTTAAAAAAATGCCAAATTGTTTCATATGCTTGGTCTTGTTCTGGGGTCTCTACTATGTTCTATTGATTACTTGTCCATTGCTGCACCAATACTATAGCATCATAGGTTTCGATATCTGAGAATTCAAGTCCCTTCTGCTTGCTCTTATTTTTCGAGATTGTCTTGACTATTTTTCAATCTTTACTTTTCCATATGAATACCAGAATTATTTTGTTAGGCTGTATGTTGAAATTTTGTTCTAGCTATGTTATATCTTGTTCTATGTTCTATCTGAACTCATTAGGATTTTAATCAATATAGTCCCTGACTGTCAACATCTCTGCTGAAACCAGCTCAGCAAAAACAAATGCCTCCACCACTGTGGGCCCCAGAGAAGAAAACTGATACATCACACGTATGGCCTCCACCTCACTCCCACCTCCCAAATTCCATCTGTATCTAACAGAACAAATTTGCACCTAGAAGCCTAGTTACAAGGGACTTGGGAAATGTACATTTTAGCTTTAAAGCATCTGCAGTAGAGTGGCGAACAGTGGATTTCAAACTATGGGCTGTAACCTATCAGCGGGTCATGAAATGAATTCAGTGGGTCGCAAATGGCATTTTAAAAACAAAACAGAACAGAATATAAGTTATCAGTGTGCTTAGCAAGGATAAGTATTTTTTTTTATAAAAATTTTATAAATATATACACACATACCTATATAAATGTTTTAAAAATAGTCTTGTGTGACATGTTTTGGTCAACGATGGTGGTCCCATAAAAGTATAACGGAGGTAAAAATTCCTATCGCCTAGTGACACTGTAGCCATCAACAGAGAGAAATGTTCATGGTGCATTATTTGCTTACAAGCAAATCTATGATGGAAAAAAGAAACAAATCAAGCAAACCACCATGGACATATTTCTGAGAAGAGCGATACCTTCTCATGAAGAGCCTCAGGAGGGTCCTTCGAGAGGTGTTACAGAAGAAGGCATCGTTATCACAGGAGGTGATAGCTCCATGCATGTTATTGCCCCTGAAGGCCTTCCAGTGGGACAAGCTGTGTAGGTAGAAGACAGGGATATTGATAATCTAGACCCTGTGTAGACCTAGGCTAATGTGTGTTTATATCCTAGTTTTTAACAAAAAATGTTTAGAAAGTAAAAAAAAAATAAATTTAATAGAAAAAACAGAATCAGGAAATAAAGACAATTTGTGTACAGATGTACAATGTGTATTTTAAGCTAAGTATTATTACAAAAGAGTCAAAAAGTTTTAAAAAATTAAGTTTACAAAGTAAAAAGTTACAGTAAGCTAAGGTTAATTACTGAAGAAAATATATTTTATAAGTTTAGTATATCCCAAGTGCACAGCGTTTACAAAGTCTGCAGCAGTGTACGGCACGGCACGTCCCAGGCCTTCGCGGTCACTCCCCACTCACCCGTGGACTCCCCGGGAGCAACCTCCAGCCCTGCAAGCTCCATGCGTGGCAAGTGCCCCATAAGGGTGCACCATTTTTTATCTTTTACACCGTATTTATGTCCCTTTTCTATGTTTAGGTGTGTTTAGATACACAAATACTTACCATTGTGTTATGATTGCCTAATGCTGTACAGGCTTGTAGCCTAGGAGCAGGAGGCTATCCCATACAGCTGGCGTGTAGTAGGCTGTATCATCTGGGTTTGTGTACGTGCACTTGATGTTTGCACAATGACGTGTGTGTGTGTGTGTGTGTGTGTGTGTGTGTGTGTGTGTTTGTAAGTTGGGGGAGAAAGAGAAAGATACATATTAAAAACATTTCTTATTGTGGGTCATGATCAAAAACTTTGAAGGCCAAGGTACCAAGGTGGTGAAGAGACGCTATGTGCCAATCCACCCATAAGTACCACAATATCCCTTATTTTGCTAAGGAATTTTCCTTTTATTTCTCATCTGCTAACGGCTTTTATTTTGAATAGGTGTTGAATTTTGCCAAATACTCTTTATGTATCTATTCAGGTAATCATGAGGTCTTTCTCCTTCAGTGTACTACACGGTAGATAAATTTTCCAACAATGCATTATCTTTGCATTTTTCTATTTCTAAAAATAAATTTTTATAGCTATCTATTGGGTCCATGACTCTCTAACTTTACTGTAGCCCGTCCCATATACCACTCATAATTTCTGGCAGATTCTGTATTTGCCTAATTTGTCAAAGATGATACTATATATCCTGACACATTCTGTAAGAACAAAAGGAAGGGCCTACATTTTGTGATTCTTTACTAAATTCATAAGAAGCTAAAATACCTACATTTTATTTAGTTAAAAGAATCCGTTATAGATACTTTTCCATATAAGAATCAATGATCTAATAAGAATTTATAATGAAGGAATAAGTGCTATTGGAAACCTATATTTTAATTCTGATATAACAGTGACAATTATATTCTTTACAAAAAGTGTAAAGAATATAAATCTACTAAAAGGTTCTTTTGCCAATTTGACTTCCACGAAAATATCTGTCCAGATAATATTCACTTAAGCACTGCCCGGAAACTTTCATTTGCTTCTTGTTTACTTGTTTTATTTTATTTACTCATTTTTAAATACTAAAGAATGTCTGTATTGCTTGAAAGCAGCCCCATTACAAAACTGCATTTACAACGGGCAGTGGTTTTCACTCACCAAATCAGGAAACCACAACACGGTTTCTTTCAACGTGTCCATGTGGTGCCAAGGTTCTGTTATGAGACTTTGGACCCTGGAGACCCTGGCGTTTCTTAGGTGTCTTGCATTTTTCTTGCAGCTTTTCGGGAGAAAAAAAATTTAATTTTGAACATAAAAATAAAAAAAGGATACCTTTTATAACCATCTGCACAAACAAAATATGTTACCTATGAATTAAAAGCCTTCCAATCAATAACTTAATCTCCACAAACATATACACGTGCACATTCTCTGTAATCACTGTTCTTTAACAGTTAATATCCAAAGGAAAACAATGCTTTGATAAAAGGTAGTGGAAGGAAAAAAAAACAGGAATTATTAAACTTTGCCAAAAGACCATCTAGAAACAAACAAAATTGAACGACACATCTGACATGAGCAGCTGATAGCCTGCCTTGCCTTATTAAGCAACATGTGTTCAAACTGTGTGTCCTTCCCTTCCTTTTTCAACCCCCCCCGCCCCTCCCCTCCGCCCCACAGCTGGGAACAGAGGGTACCCAGGATTAAGCAACATGTGTTCAAACCGTGTGTCCTTCCCTCCCTTCTCCCCCCACCCCCCCACCCACAGCTGGGGACAGAGGGTACCCAAGGACAGAACTCATGGAGTCCTTATTTATTTAGCCAGGGGCAGAGGAAATCCCAGCACAACAGAGATGGATACCCAGTTCGTCTTCAGATAGAACGAAGACACGGCACTGGTTGTCTCTGGGTGTTGGGCCTATGGGTGATAAACTGTTTAACTTCTAGTTTCCAGATTTTCTATAATGGGCTGTGTCACTCTTATAACACAGAGAGAGCTCCGACCACCCCCAGATCACACGTGTGTTAGCTCACTGTTTCATCTGAATGGCGGCCACTGAAGAGCTTTTAGTGCCGTTAAGTTCCTCCTCTCCTCCTCCCTTGGCAGTGGGCGGGGTCTGCCTTTTCCAGAGAAAGATGAGCAGGAATCCGCAGTGCGGGGGGTTGGGGTCAGATCTGCCTGGGGCTTACAAAAAGGATACTGGGAGGAGTTCCAAATTTCTGGGATGGCTAGAAACAATGATACATTCTAGTCCTTGCTACATCCAGGCCCGTGTTCTGTACACAGCAGAGAGAAATACAAAGTAGTAGAGATGGCCCCTATTTGTGAAGAGCATGATACATAATCATGAGCATAAAGAACATAAAAATATTTCAACACGTACAAAGGTACAGACTGATCCAGGGCAAATAAGGGGACAATGTGGGGGAGCCCGCTGGGGGTGAGGCCTCCAAGATTTCCTGAAGCGGTCACTGTGGGTCGCTGTGGCGTCTTTGCGTTACCGCTAATGCATTTTCTTTTTCTCTAAGAGGTTAGGAGGAGTGGAAATTCTGAAAACACAGAAATTTTCCTAGTTGGGAAAGTGACCTAAAGCAATGCTGCCTAAGCTCACTGACTCCAGTTTGAGATGACATTCAGGTTTCTTGGGGAAACAGATATTTTCAGCACATGATTTTAGGAAACTTGAGTATGATTTTGATTTATTTGAAAGTTGGTAGTACTTAACAAAAAAATCAAAATTTCCTATGAAATTCTCGTGCCTTCCATTTGACTAAATAGGCAGGGGCTGACCTCGGGAGAGTTCGAATTCTTAAATCTTGCCCAAGTCCCACATTGCACAGCACTGAAAACAAATCAAATACAAAATTGTGGAAAATAATTTTCTTTTCTTCCTTCTTAAAAATGCTACCTCCTTGCCCCTCCCCCTCCCCTTTTAACATCCAAGGCTCACCAAGTCCCTTTTAAACTGCTCTCCACCTTTATAAAACATCATCATTTATCGGGCATAATTTTGAAGTTACTGCTGGTACTCGAATCTGAGACAGAAATTTTTCTAGAGGTGTGCCAAGAGGGAACTGAAGAAATTATGGAATCTGAGCTCGCAGCCACGCCTGACTCTGAGCTGGCTGCTCTGGTGCAGTTGGCTTTTCCCAGAAAATCATCTGTGAGACTAAAGGCACAAGGAGCTCAAGCCAGCTGTGAGGCCAGGAACTAAGCCAAGGACCCAACTTCCTTCATCAGTTAGAATAAAGCCAGAGGGAGGGCCTCGGGCCACATAGGTGACCTCTAGGTGCTTTTCCTCTGGCACAGTCAACATGCGAACAGCAGCCTGTCTCAGAAGATTCCTGGTGAGGAGCAACTGATACAGGTGGATGTCAAATGCGTAAGGAGATGAATCTTACGGACCGAAAGATTCAGTCTTAAAGGTGTTCATCTTATCCCACTACAACAGTGAAAATGAAATTTTACATATCTGCTTTAGGTCGTGATGGAGGAAAAGCGACATGATCAAACTTCTGGAAACAAATCAGCTTGCCACTCTGGCATGTGGAGTTGAGATGTCTTGCCCGAGGTCATGATTCTGAGCTAAACCCGAATACTGGACAAATTAACTATTCCCTCAATGCAGTGATGGCCTCTTCCATGAACTAAATCTCTCCTCCAACTTGTTCTGTGCCTGAAAAATAACCGGTCCACGCTGAGTCCCTTCTATGCGAGTCCACGCCTATCTTCTGCAGTGCTTGAAGTTTCCCAGGAGAAGCTGCCTCGGCCGGAGGCACCACGGACGGCCTGCTTCTGAGAGGGGCCTGGCGCTCTTCACTTGATCATCTGAGTCTCTTCGTCGGCATCGTAAAACTCTTCCTCTTCCTCACTCTCACTCCCTACCCGCTCCTTGTCCACAGACTGAAACAGGAAGGAGAAGAGGGTGAAAAGATAGTGTGACACTTCTGAAATGAAAATTACCATCTGACATTCAGCTGACAGATGTAGTTCTGTGACATCTGTTCCTCCAAGAATTAGCTCCGAAGGTGTTCCGAGAAAGCTAACGAATCGTTGAACATCTTTAGTTCTCTGAGAATCAGCTGCTGTTAGGTCCCACCTTTGTTTTCCTGCATCCCCCCCACCCCCAAACCCATCATGATCCAAGTGGCAAATTTCAACGATTAAGACAAACACTGCCATACCTGTGGGGTGTCCAAGGTCTGTAACGACAGAGCTTCCTCTCCCAGCCTCCAGTAGGAATACACCTGAAGGTCAGAAACCGTCTCCAGCAACGGACTGTTAAGGGTTTCTGGCAGTAACAGACTCAGGAGGCCGGAGACCAGGCCCGTGGCTCCAAAGACAATGAAGGGTAAAGACCACTGCACGTACTTCTGTGGGCAGGGAGTGGAATGGAAACAGAACGCAGCATTAGTTTCCTCGGGGGTGACATCGGCCGTCTCATGACCGAGCAACGGCCCCGTCTGCCACCCAGTTCGTGCCTTCCCACTAGAATACACTGTAAACCACTTCGTTCCCCACTGAGAATTATCCTGAGGATTCAGAGTGATCCTCAGACCCACAGAGATAGGAGCGAGTAAATAAAATATGACGAGCTTTAAAGTTCTCAGCCCTAGAACTGGCCACACTGTCTCTGATTTGCTTAGCACCACCGATGAGAGGTGCCGGGGTTAAAGGTACAAACACCCCAAAAAGAACAAAAAGAGCCGAAAGAACCACCCCCCCACCCAGCACCATGCAGGGCTGGACACTTCCTGGACTGAACATGACCGAGGGTCAGCGATACAAGCGCTCACTTCAGAGATGCAGAAGATATGCTCGGGAAAATTTAAACGGTTTCTTTAAATACAAACAGGTTCAAAGATAACAACACAAGAGAAAGGAAAAAAAAAAAAAAGGTCCTTGCAGGACGTTGTCCTGGGCCTTTCTCAGCTGACGGACAGCTCTGAATTCCTGCACGGCAGCTGCTCAGCATTAGCATCTGGTTTGGGCTTCCGAATTCTGGGGGTAGGGCCACAGCTGGCTAGGGTGTCCCCTCGGATAATATTTGGCTGATTTTTCAAAAGTGAAGAGATGATGGAGGAGGAGGAGGAGGAAGAGAATGACCTCTGGACACCTGCATGCAAATGCACGTTCAGTGCTGTGGCTGTGGGGTCTTTTTAAATCATTTTTTTTTTTTTAGTTTTCAATTACAGTTGGCATACAATATTACACTAACTTCGGGTGTATGATATAGTGATTAGACATTTATACGACTTACGAAGTCAGCACCTTGATAAGTCTAGTACCCATGTGACACCATACACGATAATTACAATATTATTGACTATATTCCCCACGCCGTACTTCACATTCCCTAGCCCCTCCCGTCTGGCAACCATGAAAATGTTCTCTATTGTTTCTTTTTCTTATTTATTTCATTCTTTAGATTCCATACGTCAGTGAAATCATATGACATTTGTCTTTTTCTGTCTGACTTACTCCACTCAGCACAATACCCTCTAGGTCCATCCATGTTGTTGCAGGTGGCAAGATTCCATTCTTTTTTATGGCTGAGTAATATTCCACTGTATATATGGACCACCTCTTCTTTATCCATTCATCCATTGATGGACACCCAGGGTGTCTCCCTATCGTGGTTATTATAAATAATGCTGCAATGAACATATGAATCCACATGTCCCTTTGAAGTGGTATTTTGGGTTTCTTTGGGTAAATACTGGGTCCTTCTTTGTGTCTTGTTATATAGCCTTTGTTTTAAAACCTGTTTTTCCTGGTGTAAGTATTGCTACCCCAGTTTTTTTTTTTTTCCTCTTCGTTTTCATTTTCATGAAATATCTTTTTCCAGCCCTTTACTTTCAGTCTGTGTGCGTCTTTCGATCAGAACTGAGGCTCTCGTAGGCCGCATATATAAGGGTCTTATTTTCTTATCCATTCAGCCTGTGGGTGTGTCATTGAATCAAAGGGAGCACAATACTTTTGCCTCTTCCCACCTTAGCTGGGATCAACAGAGACACTGTGCTGGGTATGATAACATTCTGGGACACCACCCAAAGGTGGGTGTCTTTAACGAAAGCCTCCCCATGTCAGACACATTTTGCAGGATGGAATATGACTCCTTCATAAGAAGGGTCTTGTAACCTAAAATTAAGCACGAGACATGGAGAGAGATACTTAGAAAAAGGACATGTGTTGCAACTCAAAAAAAAAAAAGAAAGAAAAAGGAAAAAAAAAAAGCTACCGTGGCATTTCAGCGATACCTGTACCAGGAAGTAGGGAGTAAAGCTGCCTGAGTAATGAACAGTTGTCTACAGAACAGGTACAAAGCGCCACACCAAATCTAGTCACCCCTCGATGACTCCTGGCTGGGAAGCCATAGATCAGACCACGCAGAGACACATGTGGGGCTCCACGGCTCTGCCGTAGAACCCGAACTTCTCAGGACTGGAAGGATCATAGGGCTGTCATTTAAGTCCAGCCCCTTTGACTATAAAATTTAGAAAATGGCAAAAAGTATTAATAAACACACTGCTAGGTCTATTTCTCTTTGAATTTTCTTTTCCGAGTACTGTGCCTTTGGAGAGGTATTTAACCTCTTTCTACCGTATCCTCGTCTTTCATACAGGGTGACAACATCCCGGACCTCATACGGTTGCTATGAAGAGTGCACGGGACGATGTCTGTAAAGAGCTCAGCACAGCGCCCAGCACACAGCAGAAGCTTAATAATAATTCACTAACTGACCAACTTGTGAATGGGGGCAGAAAGGGGGCAACCTGGCATTAATTAATCCTCGAATACAGATGAGTGAAAAAATCAGAGCCCCGGGGGGTGAAGCCTCCTTGGTCAGAGTCCACCTGCCGGACTGGTACTAACCCAAGAGGATCCTTAATCTAAATCCTTAATCACACGTGTGTCAGGCTGATCTCGAACGGCGGTGGTTCATCGCCTCTTTCTACTCAAAAAGCACAAGCATTTCCAAAGCAGGGAATCAAGAAAAAAACTAGGAGGTACAAACCAACCAACCAGGGAGGGGACGAAGGGAGCGATAATCCCGCCGACTCGGGAGAACATGGAACAAGTTCCCAGCCCGACGTTCCTGAAAAGCATAAGAACAAGTTAAAGCAACATCAGTGAGTTCTAGGGGGACCATTTCAAGACCGTGAGGAGTAGAATAATATATCCTATAGAGCAGTGCCTCCTACTAGAACTTTCTGTGATGTTGCGAATGTTCTGTAATCGCACCGTCTAATGCGAAAGCCACTGCAGACTAGATGCACGCAGCTACTGAGCCCTCACCACGTGACTAAGAATGAGGCAATGAATCTTTAACTTATTTCAATGAATTTAAATTTAAATAGTCACACGAGGCTAGCAACTGCCGTCCTGGACAGTGCAGTTCAGAGCACGTGAACGTCTCTGTCCAGCGTCCCCCGGGTTTGTGTCTTAGGTCTCCCGTCAGTTAACGCAGCCATAGAGCACCAGGGCTTTGCGGTCTGAAACGTCTGCCCATTTACTTAAGCTCGACTCATAAAGCGTTGAGGGTCAGGCCCGTGAACAGGAACCGACTGAGCACATAGTCTCAGGAGACTGAGAACGCTTCCTTTGTGGGGAGTGTGGCGTGACAGGTGTGGAGGGCGTGAGAATGCTTAACGGTTACGGGCAGGGTGACCAGACGTCACCCCGATGTCCCAGGCCAACTGTTGGTGATACCCACATTCCTCTCAAGCACCTCCCCACTGGTCATCCTAGTTTTAGAGCCAGAAGCCAGAGAAGGTAGGTATAGGCACAATCCGGAAACGATGGGCCAATCGCAGACGACCTGACCTCTTACTGGGAAAAGGCGGAGAACCACTGGGCTTCTGCACGAGGAGGGGACAGGGGGTCTGTCTGGAATGAGCCTGCAAACGCTGGAAAAGCTCTGAGTGAGGGAAGCCAGCCCAGCCCTCAGAGGCGGTGCGGTGAATCCCCGCCCCTCACACTGGGCTGTTTTTTGTTTTCAGACCTATTTTATGAGGGGAGACAGGGTGGAATATATTCTTTTCAATATAAGCAGGTCCTATTCATTAAAACCGCCTTTAATAACTATGTAAACCCAATATTCACTTATTACTACAAATGATCTTCTTCAAAACGTGTAAGTTTTGTGCTAAAATGTAGGCTCTGTGAGAACAGGGACTTCGTCCCTTTGTCTCTCATGTGCCTGACACGGGATAGGTGGCGGAATAAATGAAGTCCACCGAAATAAAACAACATCCAAGTACCATTTGGGGGACAGGATATGTTTGGTGCAGAGTAACTTCTCTCACGATTCACATGAGGGAATCTGGCTCCGGATGAATCCGCATTTTCCTTAGCCAGACGGGCAAGGAGCAGCCTACACAGACAGTTTCTGAGCTCACGCTGCTCGCTGAATTGCTGCTGGCCACACTAACTCTGCTCCAGGTGAAGTGAGAACCACATCTCTGCTGCTACGAGCATCCACGACAAGACGCAGGATGCGTGAAGGGGGAGGTGGCTGTGTGGGAGCTGTACCTGATGACCGTCGGGTAGAGCTCAGAGGTGTAGATGTACACGACGTTAAAGGCAGCGCTGATGGTCAGCTTCCCCAGCAGGGACAAGGAACGGCTGTTCAGCACGGCGAACGCACCTGTGTCTGGGGAGGACACATGCGGCACTGGTGAGGTCCTTAGTGGAGCGAATCTTTTTTAAATGACACATTGAATTCTGAGGGAGAGGCAACATGATGATCTCAAACAGCAAAGAGGGCCTATAACTGAATACACACTCAGAACACTTAGTAACCGCACACAACACATACGGAAATATTCCGAGTGATTTGGCTGTCCCTGTGAAATCTCACCCAGTGGTGGCCACCGCGTGTGATTAAGCCCACACCCACTCCTGATGACACAGCCCCCGAAGGCTTCTGGACTGTGGCAAAGGGAACTTCAGCAAAATCATAGGTTTCATCTCCCAAGGGTGCTACTTGCTTCACCTTTCTTCCCGACCTTACTCAACATCGATGATGTAAAGTGGTGGCCAGCATGACAAGCCCTGGCTTGTGAGGGAGTTGTCTGCTAGCTAACACGCAGAGGTGAGGGCTGGAAAAACTGCTCCCTTCAGTGATAAGGAAAAACCCATGACATTCCTCCCAGAAGATATGAAACATTAATGTTCCTTAAGAACAAGACTGAAATGTGGAACTACTTTTAATCCTTCCTCTTCCCCAACTTCTTTGACTTACTAATCGATAATGATATTTTAGTTTCCTAATGCAACGTTTTTACATAAAACGCAAAAACACGTTCTACGCCCATTCATTTCCCTATCAAAAATATTATCGATTATCCTGTGGTTCTTTCTTTATTAACATTACTCCCTTTCAAACATATGTAATGCCTTCGATAATCCACTAGCCTCTACCTTCGAAATAACAATTTTCCTCTTCTGAGAAAAAAAATTCTCATCGACTCTGCTGTGCTTTCCCCCCTCGCAACCAAGCATCTGCAGGGCGAGGCCGACGCTCCGCTCCCTCCCGTGCCCCTGCCCCTAACTCTCCGCGACCTGGCTCCCAACGCCACCCCCTCCTGAAACTCCGACTCTTAAAGGTCAACGGCGATGTCTCGATCCTCAAAGTAATTGCCTCTCATTCTCCTTGACATTTCTCCAAATGGAACACGCTGGGCCCGTCCTCCGGACTGCTCGCACGGCTCACCTCCAACGCAGTGTCCGCCCCTTCCTCTGACCGTCCCTGCCCCGCTCCCGGACCACTGAGCGGGCCCACTTCACAGCGTCTTGCGCTGGCGGACGTTCCCACCCTGTCCGTCCACGATACTCTCGGGGTTAGCTGAAGCTGCTATCTTGTCTGTATCCAAGTCCCTCACAGTACCTCCCAGGGAGTACCCAGTACTCACTGAATATTTATCAAACAAATGAGGAGGACCGCCATCGGGATTAACTGAATGAGAAGGATCTGTGTTCATGGTCTCTCACCTTCTGAGGAGAGAGGAATGATACACTCCATTCTCAAAGTTTCACCCTCCCTGCTTGACGATAAAATAAATCTTCGGTGACTTTAAAGATGGGGTCCTGAACACAGTGGCCCGGGCACCACCGAATGTGACCATCCGGGCCTTTCTCCTCCCTGCCAGGCTATTTGGAAGAAGATGCTAGAGATTTTAAGTATTGACTATATTATTTTAAGCTACGAGGTTCTTCTGAAACACACACACACACACACACACATAAAAAACCTGCCTTTCGGCATTTCCCTGAGATATGTGTCTGGACTTTTGATATTTAACAACTTTAATTAAACCAATAATGATGGAAAATTAAATTCATCGATAATTTTCCAGAAAACTGAGTGAGTCGGGAAAAGGTATGGGGTGGCGCGGTGCGAACAGAAATGTGCATATGTTTGCCTGCGAAGGATCTCAGGGACTGTTTTCAACCCAAGTAGGATGGCATCCTTCAGAACGGAATGGTAAGGAGACAAGCTACAGCATCCTTGACAACAGGTCAGGGGGCTGCCACCCTGAAAGCTGAATTCAAATGGCACATCACAGAAGGCTTATCATCCAAACACCCACAAAACCCAGGACCGGTAGAAGTTCCCCCTGTGAGGCTCAGGACACTTCCCGCTGCATGGCCCATCTGGGGAGCCTGGCTCCAGGCACACGCCCGCAGAGCACTCCCATAAGCTTGACACCTTGCCTGGTGCTTGAAAGGTCTCTCCTGGGCTCCTGCCTACAGAGTCTGCAGTCACTTTTGCCCAAGGGGGAATTCCACATTGCCCAAGGAAGACCACATGGATTTCAGACAGCTCTGTTCATTTGGAGAATTGTCTCTTATTCTTTCTGGGACTCCTGCCTGTGAAGCTGTGGGGCTGCTTGTCATCCTGAGTTAATGTTTAGGAAGGCTTTCCTGCCCCTGGGCTGGTCCCCTGAATTCCTGACTGTGGTTCTTTACCTAAAAATGAAGTCAGATATTATTGGCCATTACCAATGAATATTCAAAACAACTATTTAGAAAAAAGAGTGATTTTTAAAAGGGAAAATTTAACTCAATTATCTTTGAAAGAAAAAAGGGAATTCTCAAAATACTTGTCTCCTTCAAAGTACTGAACTCAGGAGGTTATAAGCTTAATCCAATGATGCAGCCAGTAAGGACATTATTTTTGGAGCTATTATCTGGAAGTTTTCTGAGCCAATGTGGGGTCACCAGGACAAAATCTCTCAGTATGTTATAGTCACATATCACTGACCCAAAATAGTAAAAATTCAACTTAATCATCCACTTCATTCACTGGGTGATTATAGCAAATTTTTTAGTTTGTGCTTATGTAAAAAAAAAAATTAAAACAGCTGTAGGCCCTCTAATATGATACACAGGTTGGGTAACACACACACACACGATTCATTTTGTTTCCCTTTGGCTTTTTTTTTTTTTTAAAGAAAAATACCATATATACACATAGTTCTGTTACTAGAGTGTCACTATTTCTAGAATTTCACAGGAATGAAATCATTGTTTGTAGACTTTTGTGTCTGGCTTCTTTCAATTAGCATAATGCTTTTGAAATTTGTTGCTGTTGTTGTGTGTAGCAGTAGGTTATAGATCATGCCTTTTTGTTGGCTGATTAATACTTCATTGTGTGGATATACCACAACTTATTTATCCATTCCTCAGCTGATTTGGGTTCCTTCTAGTTTGGAACTACTATTGATAAAGCTGCTATAAATATCTTCCTCAAAGACTGTGTTGATCTCTGTTTCTGCTTCTCTTGGGTAAGGTTGAGTCACAAGGTAAATGTGTTTCACTTTCAAATAAGCTGTTAATGTTTTACAAAGTGTCTGTACCATTTTGCATTTCTCTCAGTAGTATATGAGAGTTCCAGTTCCTCTTGTTATCACTGTCAACATCTGGTATGGTCAGTCCTTTTTATTTTAGCCATACTAGTAGATGTGTGGTGGTATCTCAACATAGTTTTAATTTCCACATCCCAAATGTGTAATGATATTGAACATCTTTCCTCATGCTTATTTGTCATTTTTATATCCTTTTTGGAGAAGTGTCTGTTCAAATCTTCTGCTCATTTTTTTTCTCATTACTGAATTGTAAGAGTCTATTCTATATTCTGGATACAAGTCCTTTATCAGGTACATGTTTTACAAATATTTTTCCCAATCTGTACCTTACTTTTCATTTTGTTAATAATGTTTTTTTTAAAAAAGCAAAGTTTTTAATTTTAATGAAGTCTTAAGTTATAAATTTTTTCCTCTTTGTGGTTTTTGTGTCCTATTTAAGAAATCTTTGCCTAACCCAAAGTCATTAAGATTTTCTCCATGTTCTGTTTTAGTTTTAGCTTTTATATTTAGGTCTACCATCAATTTCAAGTTCATTACTGCATGATATGACATGCAGGTTGAAGTTAAATTTTTAACATATGGATATCCAATTATTCCAGCACCATTTGTTGAAAATATTTTTCTCTCGTAGTATTGACTTATCTTTGTTAAAAACAAGTTGATCATGTGCATTTTTCTCCATGTATGTTATGACTGAATAAAACATTTTTAAAAGGTGAGTAAAAATCTCAGCTCTCCTCAAAAAATAAAATAAAAAATCAATGGGCCATATAAGTGGGTCTATTTCATACTCGATTCTGTTATATTATCTATACAACTATTTCTATGCCAATATCGGACTGTTTTGATTAACGTAACTTTGTAGTAAGTTTTAAAATCAGGTAAGGTAAGTTCTCTAACTTTGTTTTTATTCATAAAAACTATTTTGGATATTCTAGATCCTTTGTATTTCTACAAAATTTTCGGTATTAACTCGTCAATATCTAGCAACAAGAAGAAGCCTGCTGGAAATTTTGTTCAGATTGTGCTGAAGATCGGTCATTATGGGGAGAATAGACATCTTAAACAGTATTTTCTGATCCTCGAGCATGGTAATATTTTCATGTATTTTATTATTACCATTAAGTCATTTATTTGGTCTTTAATTTGCCTCATCAATGCTTTCTATTTTACAGTTCTCTATAAGTCTTATACATATTTTATAAAATGTATCCCTAAATATTGCGTATTTTTAATCTTATTGAAAAGATTGCTTTATTTAAATTTTAATTATTTGTTGCTAATATACAGAAATAAAATTGTGTCACATGACTCTGCTAAACCCATTTACTAATTCTAGCAGATTTTTTGTATATTCCTTAGGATTTTTAATGGAGACAATCACAAATCGTAAGCTTAATTAGGATCCTTCAAGGAAGGATAGAAGACCGATAAAATGTATGATGACCAAGCTGTGGAAAAATTTAGTGGTCACCTGGTCACATTATCCCCAAGGGAGAATATTCAGTTGGAGGTCAACGAGTGTACAAATATGAACTGGACAGGGCACTTTCTCTAATAATTGTAAACCACGGACTGAGAAATACTAAACAATCTATTTTCCTGCTGTCTGGCTGTCTCTTCTAGAGTTAAACCTCTATGTCTGTGCCTCAGACACAGAGAACCATAGTCACGGACAGATGCTAAAAAAAGCTGGTAGGTAGAGAGGCACCTGAGTTGGCAGAAAGGAGAGAATAAATGCATATTTGGTGGGGAAAATGAGGATAAAATGCTGTAAGAAAATGAGTGGTCTCCGAGCTCACACGAGATGCTAACAGAATTTTTCAAATTGGGCCTTGTTTTTAATATGTATTTATCCGAACTTCCATAACACGTAGCTCCAAGCTCGGAACTTTGAAAAAACTGAGATTTCAAAAAAGCCATCGAAATATTTTAAAGAGTAAATATAAAAGGTTCAAAAAAAGTTTAAAGAACAAATTTTTGAGCTCAAAAAAAAAAAAAAAGAAGATTCAGGAATAGCTAGATGACCCTCTGCAAGTATAGAAAGAATTACGCAAAAAAAATTATAGGGTGACCATCTGTTCTCTGTCTCTAGTGATGAATAAAATGAAAGGAAATGCACTCAGTTGTAGTGGAAAAGGATCATTCGAACATTCTAATGGTTATCAAAAATAGAAACAATTTGCTAAGGGATGCTATCGAATTTCTTTCCCTGGAAATCTTCAAAAATCGACTAGACATCTACTTTCCAAGTGTAACAGAGGTGTCACGTTCCCAAGGCACACCTGTGGAGTGTGTAAGACACCGTGCTGTTATGTTCCTTACACTCTGCTATGCTGTGCATCCACCAAGGGGCACGATGCACAAAGAGCTCAAGCTGCTCTCTTAAAACAGGCTGGAAGTGAGCAGAGTGAGTCCGGTCTAGATCTGCTTCGCTTGGGTTTCTGTAGAAAGGGCCATGTGCAGAGTCCTAGGCTGTAGGTTCCCTGGAGTGTACAGTATGTGGAAAGAGGAAAGACACTGATTGGCCTGGCTTGCACAGGTGTGACAGGTTACAGGTATGTTTATAGCAACAATTAAAAGTTTTTCTTTTTCAGGTAACATATAGAGCACTGGGCTATTATAAGTAGAAAACAACTGAATTTCTAAGTCACC